AAATATAACAATTAAATTTATTTATTGTATTTTATAATACACAAAAAAATATTTAGTATAAAATGTTTTAATAACAATTCATTTATAACAAATAAAATGGTTTAAAAAATAAATCAATACTAAATTAATAAATTGAATAAATAAATTTAATTGTTAAAAAATAAATCAATACTATTAACTAAATTGAGCATTGTACTGTAAATAAACAAAATTGAGAAAAATTGAGTTATGAAATATTTAATAGAAATCATAATTATGTTTTAAATGTGAAATTRATTTACTTRTATTATTAACTAATTTACATTAAAATAACAATTAATCAATATAATATTTTTCAATTTAATTACGAATAAAATGTTTATTTTTTATCCCAAATATTTAAAATTACTTATTATTTTAAACATAATTTCAAACATAATTTAAAMTTTATTAATCTTTACTAAATTTAACACAAAACTTAATTTATAAAAWATATMTATATATAAATAGATAATTATTTCAAAAATTATAGTAATAATAGCAAAACTACTACCAAATCCATATGCCATCCAAATTGTACTAAAATTTGATAATTTCATTGATTGTATTTCTTGACTATCTTTGTTAATATTTATTATTTTATTAATAAAATTTGTATTATTTTCAGAGACAAACTTGTCTAACCATATATCTATTAAACCAGCACTTATAATATCGCTTATTCTAAATAATATATATATATTAAAAAACATTTATTAWTAAGTTATAGAAATAATTAATAAAATATTATTATTACATTTTATTAAACTTATGTTTTAATGGAAATTGTTTTCTCAATGCTATTCCTTCTAAACTTATTGATAATGAATTGTAATCATTAGGCGCCGGCAGATAATGATTGGTTATATTATATTTATTTAATAAGTATAACATATGACTACGAGGTCCTATAAATAATGTGGGTTCAGATAACTTATATGATTGATTAACTAAAARATTTTTAACTTCAATATTATTATCTATAACTGTAATCATATTTCCTATTTCACGATAAATATAATCATTATGATTCTGTAATAGAAAATAATAAGTTTATTATAATTTTTTTTAAAAAGTATCAGAAAAATTATAATTTAAAAGAATATATTTATAATTACAGAAAAAACATGTTTATATGATGTCCCATTCCATGAAATTATTTTTAAATAACCATTTTTTGCATATTTTATTAAATCATTAATGGTTTCAATTTTGATTTCATTGGGACAGGTAGTCAACGAGTAAACAGTTCCAGCAATACATGTGCTAAAYACTAGRCATCCAATCAACCAAACAATTATAAGWATYCGATTAGATGTTGTWTTTATATATGAAAATTGTGTCGATTGTCTCATAAAAACTTTAAACAATGTTTGTTTCATAAATGATTGATTATAAAACATAATTTGTATTAACAATTACTATATATGATATAAATATACAAAACCAACTAGGTACATCAAATATATTAAATAAATTAACAAAATAATTATATMTGGGTCTTGGTGATAAAAATGTTGTACTTTCGATARCATATGGATATAAATAATCAATATTTATCAATCTTTCAGCTGTTAGTGTAACTGATCCAATACCAATATCAGCTTGCTAGTTTTATAAATTAAATAATAAATTTCAATATTTTTTTGTAATTTTTAACACTATATATAAAACAACTGTAAGTAAAACTCTTTTACTTTACTGAATAATCGTCCGACAAGACTATCCAATGAATTATTATTATTRTTATTATGATAATTGTATTTTCCATTTGCAATCAATTATATCATATGTTATGTTTAATAGTTGTCTAATTATTTTAATTATTTCGTAATCAATACCGTTAACTAATTTTGTTTTATTAAAAATTTTYGCTAATTTTACAAATGGTAGAAACTAAACATTTACAAAACATTATTTTATATTTATTGTAAAAATMACTTTATTTTTTTTATCAAAAATTATTATATTGAAATTAATTTATACAGGGTACTTACCTCATTTGCAGCAATTAGAAATTTAGAATTATTAAAATACATTATTTAATTTTTTGRTWAATATTRGTTAATAATTACTAAACTTTTTTACAAAACTAAAAAATTTTAATGTGTAGTTTAGCAATTAATGTTATCACAATTTTAGACACATTTTTATAATTATTCTTTAATAGTAATWGTAATAATAGTATATATAATGGTATATAAATATAATAAATGATTAATAATATTACTTTTAAAATACTATATATTATYTATACARTATATAGATAATATAATACAAAATAGATAATATTTACATTAAKAATATTTTATTAAAATGTTTATTCATTGTATTGATATGTCTTTAAAAAAAATCAATAMTATATTTACCWAATTAATTAATAAACTGTACAAACACATTTATTAATTAAACTTAAATTTTAAATATARACATTATTATTATAAATTAAAAAATWAATTAATATATATATTAATTTTTATATACAGTATTTGRTATATAATTTTATTTATTATAATACTCGTTTAAAATTAATAAAAATATCATTAATAATTTTTACATTAAAATTATATAGTTTRGTSGGAATTATTCACTGTATACTTGATATAACAAACTAAATATTATTTATAAAATTGATAATTAATAAAACATATTAACAATTTAATACAATTATAATGACTCCTCGGGTACCAATTTATGAACTTATTAATTCATTTTTATCTTAATATTAATTTATACTATATTTACTTTATTTAATCTTTTTACAAAAATAATTATAAATTTAAATTATATTATAATGAATATTAATTTATGRACTAATATGAAAAATCTAATATATTTGATTACCATCTATTAATTAAAATATATTAATGATTATAATTTAATTTAAAAGTTATTTTTTAATAACAAAAAGTATTTAATATCATTTCATACCTGACTAAACAATGGAAATGTCATAACAGTYAGCGATCCGATTGAAAATCCAATTTTCCTATTAGTTGTATTCAATCGTTCAAAATATATAACGAGTCTAAGTTTGATGCGCGCCCTAAACGGCCAGCCATTGATTAGCCACTGCACGCGCGACAAATGTTCGCGCATTTTATGGGCACGTTTTGTAAACGATGCCATCAGATATTGCAATATGAATAGTGCGGCAAACATTAGCATTAATAATACAAAATATATAGCATTCATAATAATTGATAAATTTGTAAACATAATTAAGTGTAGTATTAGTAGACTAGTCGGGAATATTGTTAACAGTGATACCAGATATACCCGTTTGGATGCTTTATTATATCGGTCTAATGTTTGACAAATCAGGTCGTGTTCATTGAAATATGTTATCAACATTTTACTATCTGAGCTACGGCTCAGTGATCTACCCTTGTGTTCAATTATATGATTGATAAAATTGATCCGGAGCAAAAAATATGTTACAGATAATAGAAAAAAATAAAAAATTAACAACAAATCCATTGCCAAAAATATTGTTATAATAAATGTAAATATTATAAACGGTAAGGCCATAATGTATAAATATAATGTATAATCATTTATTGATAATACTAATAAGTACATTGATGTTAAGGCAAATACTATAATTTAAAAAAATGAAATAATTAATTAGTAATTATATTTTCAGCAACAACAAAATTATTATTTTATATAAACATTTAACTAAATTCAGGATATAAATTGTAAAAATGTTTTTTATATAATAAAACTAATGTTAATTATATTCATACTAAACAAATATACAGATTTATTTTGAACTATTTAGACACATAACAGTATTATACTGTATAATAGTTTACAAACAATTAACAAAATATCAATAATAAATTAGTTATTTATTTTTACAATAATTAATAAATTTCATTATAATAATTATTTAATATTTTTTACAAAACTTTTGAAATTTTTAAACACAATTAAAATTTAAATAAATACCTATATAATAAATGGCCAATGTCATCAATTTAGTTAAAATTTTAGAAATTTTAATAAATTTTTTATAACTATTATTATCAAGTTTATCAATTGATAATTTATAGATTATATAATCATTTTGATTATTAGCTAGCGATAAAATATCTGAATAAATATTAATTGATTTATTAGTTGATACACGCATTACATAATGTATAGTAAAATGTARTATTGTTAGTAAAATAATGTATATACGATTGTACTTGGTGATACCACCAAATAATATTGATAAATCAAATAATATTAAACTAGTTGTCCTGTCGATCACAATAAACAAACCAAAAATATATTTTAATAAATAAAGTATAAATAATAAGTTAAATATTTTATATAATCGTCTTTTATGTTGACTTTCATTATTAATTAAACGATTATTTATTGTAGAAATATAATAATTCACAATTTTAGACATTATTTTTTTTTGTTGTTTGTTTATAATATTATAATAAACTAATATTAAATTTTAACTGGGGTTTAAAATAATAAATAAATTAGTTTTTTTATATTAAGGCTTTTAAAAATTATTATATAACACAAAATAAAATATATTTATATATATTTATATATTTACTGTAATTATTATTCATATATCTACTATAAAATAGATATATGTATTATTTATGTTTGACATATTATAATTTAAGATGATAAATACAGTACAGTATATTACCGTAACTTAAATAACTAAAACTAAAATAAAATTTTATTGTAATATTTTTTTTATTTATATATTAACTATAAATTAAAAATCTTTGAAAATACTAGAAAGCATTACCAGACAAACTTCACATAATCTTTAGTATAGAYAAAATTTTATATTTTGTATTTATAATTTGCATAAATTGAAATAATTATACTAAAAATATMTAATTAGAGATTTTTAAATTAAATCTATAAACTATTAAAATTTTTATRTGACTTATAAATTATATTGTTTTTCAATATATAGAACAATATTTTTTCTGACATTTTGTTCTATATTTTGACAGACAGACAGACAAACAGACAGACAAACATAAGGAATTCAGAAATATTCTCTTTTTCAGGAATTCGTGATAAGTGTTACCCATTGTAATATAATTTTATATAGTGATTATAATTTATAAAAAAATCAATTTATAATATTTTTTTTATAAAATAAATAACAAATAAAATTCCATGTTAAAAATAATCAATAACTAAAATTATAAGAAATAAAGTATATTTATAATTAACATATTGTATATTATTTATAAGTTATATTATTTAACTTTAGTCTGTAATCAATATATTAAATATATATTATGTATATTAAAATTATGCATAAACTTTAATGACTTGAAATACTTAWATCKAGCACAAATAACTTTTATAATAATGATAATAATAATAATTAATTACTATAAATTTAGAAAGTTTCTTAAATAAGTTAATAAATATTTAATCATTATAAACATAATAAATATGATATATTTAATTAATCTAATCTATTATTTGTTTATATATATGACAATAAAAAACGATAACGGCAAAAAAAACAAATTATTTATATAATAAAATCATACTAATCTTGTACATGTACAATTTTAGGTTAAAATTATTTAATTTTATTTAGTTTTAATAATAAAAGGGGTTTAAAACATATAAATACTAAATGAATGTTCATTGCGGTGTCAGATGTGACTCCGGTGTCAGATCTGAATGCGGTGTCAGATGTGACTGCGGTGTCAGATCTGAATGCGGTGTCAGATGTGACTCCGGTGTCAGATCTGAATGCGGTGTCAGATGTGACTCCGGTGTCAGATGTGACTGCGGTGTCAGATGTGACTCCGGTGTCAGATGAATGCGGTGTCACTCCGGTGTCAGACTCCGGTGTCAGATGTGACTCCGGTGTCAGATCTGAATGCGGTGTCAGATGTGACTCTGGTGTCAGATGTGACTGCGGTGTCAGATCTGAATGCGGTGTCAGATGTGACTCCGGTGTCAGATCTGAATGCGGTGTCAGATGTGACTGTGTCGGTGTCAGATCTGAATGCGGTGTCAGATGTGACTCCGGTGTCAGATCTGAATGCGGTGTCAGATGTGACTCCGGTGTCAGATCTGAATGCGGTGTCAGATGTGACTCCGGTGTCAGATCTGAATGCGGTGTCAGATGTGACTCCGGTGTCAGATCTGAATGCGGTGTCAGATGTGACTCCGGTGTCAGATCGAATGTGTCAGATCTGAATGCGGTGTCAGATGTGACTCCGGTGTCAGATCTGAATGCGGTGTCAGATGTGACTGCGGTGTCAGATCTGAATGCGGTGTCAGATGTGACTCCGGTGTCAGATCTGAATGCGGTGTCAGATGTGACTGCGGTGTCAGATCTGAATGCGGTGTCAGATGTGACTCCGGTGTCAGATCTGAATGCGGTGTCAGATGTGACTGCGGTGTCAGATCTGAATGCGGTGTCAGATGTGACTCCGGTGTCAGATGTGACTGCGGTGTCAGATCTGAATGCGTTGTCAGATGTGACTCCAGTGTCAGATGTGACTCCGGTGTCAGATGTGACTGCGGTGTCAGATGTGACTCCGGTGTCAGATGTGACTCCGGTGTCAGATCTGAATGCGGTGTCAGATGTGACTGCGGTGTCAGATGTGACTCCGGTGTCAGATGTGACTCCGGTGTCAGATCTGAATGCGGTGTCAGATGTGACTCTGGTGTCAGATGTGACTGCGGTGTCAGATCTGAATGCGGTGTCAGATGTGACTCCGGTGTCAGATCTGAATGCGGTGTCAGATGTGACTGCGGTGTCAGATCTGAATGCGGTGTCAGATGTGACTCCGGTGTCAGATCTGAATGCGGTGTCAGATGTGACTCCGGTGTCAGATGTGACTGCGGTGTCAGATCTGAATGCGGTGTCAGATGTGACTGCGGTGTCAGATCTGAATGCGGTGTCAGATGTGACTGCGGTGTCAGATCTGAATGCGGTGTCAGATGTGACTCCGGTGTCAGATGTGACTGAATGCGGTGTCAGATGTGACTGCGGTGTCAGATGTGACTGAATGCGGTGTCAGATGTGACTCCGGTGTCAGATGATCTGAATGTCTGATCTGCGGTGTCAGATGTGACTCCGGTGTCAGATGTGACTCCGGTGTCAGATGTGACTGCGGTGTCAGATGTGACTCCGATGTCTGATCTAAATGCGGTGTCAGATGTGACTCCGGTGTCAGATGTGACTCCGGTGTCAGATGACTGAGATGGTGTCAGATGTGACTGCGGTGTCAGATGTGACTCCGGTGTCAGATGTGACTCCGGTGTCAGATGTGACTCCAGTGTCAGATCTGAATGCGGTGTCAGATGTGACTGCGGTGTCAGATCTGAATGCGGTGTCAGATGTGACTCCGGTGTCTGATCTGAATGCGGTGTCAGATGTGACTCCGGTGTCAGATGTGACTCCGGTGTCAGATGTGACTGCGGTGTCAGATGTGACTCCGGTGTCAGATGTGACTCCGGTGTCTGATCTGAATGCGGTGTCAGATGTGACTCCGGTGTCAGATGTGACTCCGGTGTCAGATGTGACTGCGGTGTCAGATGTGACTCCGGTGTCAGATGTGACTSCGGTGTCAGATGTGACTCCGGTGTCAGAAGTGACTGCGGTGTCAGATCTGAATGCGGTGTCAGATGTGACTGCGGTGTCAGATGTGACACCGCAGTCACATCTGACACCGCATTCAGATCTGACACCGCAGTCACAGATGTGACTCTGACTAGAATTATATTATATTACAATATTATTTTATCATAAATGAAAACATTAATACTAATTGAATAAGAGTTAAAAGCATTTGACAGAAATTAAATTTGCAAAAAAATGAATAAAAATGAATTAAAATCTAAAATTATATGATATATAGTTTTTAAATAAGGAAATACAAGTATTATGAATAAAAACAACTATTTAAAAACATGTTTGTTTTTGCTCCTCGGGGGCCAATTTATGGACTAATATAAAAAATCTGATATATTTTATTATCATCTATTAATTAAAAATATAAACAAGTTTTAAACAAATAAATTACTATAATTGAAAAACTTATATTTAATAATAAAAACAAATACCTGACTAAACAATGGGAATGTCATAACAGTCAGCGATCCGATAGAAACACCTATTTTCTTACGACTACTCAATCGTTCAAAATATATAAGTAGTTTAAGTTTGATGCGCGCCCTAAACGGCCAGCCATTGATTAGCCACTGCACGCGCGATAACTGACCACACATTTGATGGACACGTTTTGTAAACAATGCTAACATATATTGCATTATAAATAGGGCGACAAACATAAGCATTAATACCAGAAAATATATGACATTCATAATGAATGATAGATTGTTAAACAAAACCATATATAGTATCAGTAGACTAGTCGGGAATATTGTGAACAAACAAACCAAAAATATCCGTTTGTTTGAAGTATTAAATCGATTTAATGTTTGACACATCAGGTTATGTTCAGAGATATATGTGCTAAACTTTTGACTAACTGTGCTCTCAATGTGTTTAACGGATGATCTATTCAATGCAATTATTTGATTGACATAATTGACCAGGAGTAGTAAATATGTTATACTTAAAATAAGTAAATAGAAAGTTACCATCAAATCCATAACCATAAATATGGAAACAATACATGTTAATATCATAAACGGTATGGCCATTAGGTATGTATATAATGTATAATGTTTAAATACTAATATTAAAAATAATGATGTTAATGAAAATACTAGATAAATAAAACAAATAATTAATATTATTAATATTATTTTTCATAATATTTAAAAGTATTAACAAAATCCACAGACAATTCAAATAAAATTATAAAAATAATTTATTGAATATATATCACGTTTCATCTTATATTTTTATATATAATTAAATTATTTTTTTTAAACCCCTGAAATTGTGTTTTAAATTTTATTTTCTAGAAAAATACCTAAATAATAAATTGAAAATGTCATCAATTTAATTAATATATTTGATATCTTGATTAGTTTTTTATTTCTATTATTATCAAGTTTATCAATTGATGATTTACAATTGATTAAATTATCATTTTGTTTATTAGTTAGCGAAACAATATCCGAATAAATACCAATTGATTTATTAGTTGAAACACGTATTATATAATGTACTGTAAAACTTAGTGATGTCATTAAAATAATAAAAATACAATTATATTTAGCTATACCACCAAATAATATTGATAAATCAAATAACATTAAAGCAGTTGTTTTGTCAATAGTAATAAATAATCCTAAAATATATTTGAATAAATAGATTGCGTAAAATATAGTTAATATTTGATACACACATTTTGTATATCGATTTTCATTATTATTTAATCTGTTATTAATTATTAATATATAGTAATTCACAATTTTGGACATTATTTCTAAAGTTTATTTATATTTTTGAATACAATATAATTGTAAATTTTTACATCAATATATAAACTGTAAGCTGCAAAAAAACGTAATACAATACTGTACTTAATTTAATAATGTTATTTTATGTATTATAAATTATATACCATTATTAATTGTAAAATATCAAAAAGGTTATTTCAAATAACATAGATTATAAAAATAATTGTGTTCATGTATATAAACTAAAAATCATTAAATTTTGATATATATATATCTGTATACTGTATTTATACAGTATATTAAGTTAAATAATAATCTATTTATAAATTATTATAAATGCAATTATATAATTAACTTTGACAAATTAGATATAATTTATTTTTTAATATTTTAATATTTGCAATGTCAAATAATTAAATAATTTATGTTACTGAATATACGGTATATGTAGTAAATTAAATATTATAATTATAAATAGAAGTGAGTAAATAAAAATTTCTATTAAAATTGAATATAAATTTCTATAAAAATATTATTTTATTATTATTCTATGGTATCCCCATATTTATAGCTATTGTATTAATTTTTTAATAATATATGATATACTGTACACTAGTCTACTATATAATGAATGAGATCCGCGGATATAAAATTAATATATGAATATAATTATTATTAGTTTATGTAAAATTTTATCATTTATTAATAATTATAATTTTATTTTAATATAATTGATTAATTTTTTTCTTTTAATATTAACTTAAATTATAATAATAGTTATTATTTGTGATATATTTTTTTTTAATTAATTAACAAATATTAAGAAAACAAAATTATTTTGGTCATACAAAAGACATAATTTTTTTAGAAACTTTCTAGAAATTTATTTATAATAGTAGATTTTTTTTTGTCAATAGAAGTACAGTAATTTCCAAGTAGTGTATATGTAAGCAATTTTAATGTAAAACATTTATCTTAAATTATTATTATTATTTTTTTATTATTTTTTATTTATTTTATTATTACAATCAAAAGTAAATTAGCAATTAACTGTAATTAAATTTATATTACCATGACAATTTGAGTTTATTATTATTATATTTTTTATGATATTTAATGTATTATTTACATGTAATAATAAAATTTATTAATCTGAAAAAATTAAAATAACTATTAAGGTAACCTAAGTAAAATAAATAATATATTATTTTTTATGATAACAAAACCAATATATTATTATATACTTTATAAACATTAATTATTTGCAAATTATAAAACAAAACTAAAATTTAATATTTGTTTATTATAATTGTAAAATATTTTAAAAAAAAAATTTCTTAAAGTAATATTATTTTATCTCTTTCTCTCATTTATACTCTCTCTCTCTCTCTCTCTCTCTCTCTCTCTCTCTCTCTCTCTCTCTCTCTTTCTTTCTTCTCTCTCTCTCTCTCTCTCTCTCTCTCTCTCTCTCTCTCTCTCTCTCTCTCTCTCTCTCTCTCTCTCTCTCTCTCTCTCTCTCTCTCTCTCTCTCTCTCTCTCTCTCTCTCTCTCTCTCTCTCTCTCTCTCTCTCTCTCTCTCTCTCTCTCTCTCTCTCTCTCTCTCTCTCTCTCTCTCTCTCTCTCTCTCTCTCTCTCTCTCTCTCTCTCTCTCTCTCTCTCTCTTTTGTATATAATGTGTATACAAATATAACACCAAGGTCATTTATGTATACATACTTGTATTATAAAATCAATATACCCGTACAAACTATTATTATTATTATTGTATTGTTTATCATATAAAAAATGGTTTCTTAAAACTTAAATTAAATTATATTAAATAATTAAATCAATTGTAATGTCACTCGCTTTTGATTTTGCTAAAAAAGTTGCACTAATAACGGGCTCGAGTTCGGGTATCGGTGCGGCCACTGCTCTGCTGTTTGCCAAATCGGGAGCCAATATAGTGGTCACCGGTCGTAACCGAGACAAAGTATCGGAAGTGGCCAATGAATGCCGCAAAGTGTCGCCCAATAGTGCCCTGAATAGTGTACTGGAAGTGGTGGCCGACGTTACCAAACGCGAAGATCTGCAACGTCTGGTCGATAGTACTGTCGGTGAGTTCGGTCGACTCGATATTCTGGTCAACAATGCCGGCGCCGGTATCAAAGCCGACATCACTGACGACAACTTTTACGACTCGTATCGCAAAGTGTTTGAAATCAATTTAGATTCAGTGGTTATGTTAACACATATGTGTGTCAAACATCTGGAGGTTAGCCGAGGAAACATTATCAACATATCAAGTATACGATCGGTTCAAACGGTAATTGTATAAAAAAAAATAATTAATTAAATTTATTTAAAAAAAAAGATATTTATCTGTAGAGTCCTCTGTGGGCGCCGTATTGTATGTCAAAGACAGCGTTAGATATGTTTACGAAATGTTTGGCCGCAGAGTTGGGATCGAAAGGCATTCGTGTTAATAGTGTTAAGTATAAGACAATAATTTTATTTTATTTTTTAAACAAATATATATTTTTTTATAATAATAATATAACAATCATTTACTTTAATATGTTGTCCGTGTGTAGTCCCGGTGCTGTCAAAACAAATTTTTCGGTTAACGCCGGTATTTCGGCCAACGAAGCCGACATATTCTATGACGAATACGCTAAGGTCTATCCGGTTGGCCGTTACGGTAACGGGTCGGACATTGCCAACGCTGTACTGTATTTGGCGGCCGCCGAATCATCATTTGTGACCGGAACTAATTTAATGGTCGACGGCGGACATTTGGCCGCTAATGTCAATTTTGCCAGATTTAAAGCCAACGACAAATAAACATATTATAAATAATTATTAAAATATTTATTTAACTATTATTTTTTATGTTTGTTTGTTAAGAATATCATTTGCAAAAGATATATCACAATTTTGAATCATTTTTTACTGTTTTTTTTGAAAATTTTATTGAAAACATAACTTTTTTTCATTTACCTATACTTTTATTTAATTAATATTATTATTAGTGTAAAAATTAATTCTATTTTTTTAAAATAGTTAACTTTCTGTCTATAGTTTATAATTAATTACTAAAAAATAATAATTACAGTAATATAAAAAAAGTATGATAAAAATTTAAACTTCTATTGATATTATTATTTATAATTATTATTTTTCTTTAAAAAATCGAAAATAATATCAAATTATTATATAATATTTTTTTATAGTATCTAATTATAATAATTTGATTCATAAACAAAACAAAAAAATAACTCTCCAGCGGGGAATCGAACCCCGGTCTCCCGCGTGACAGGCGGGGATACTAACCACTATACTACTGAAGATTGGATAAACTTTTACTGTTAATATGGGTAGTCATCACATCATTTACATTATTAATATACAAAATAATATAATTTGAATTATTGAATAAAATGATAAATAAAATTATTATTTTAAAAACTATTACTTATGTTATTTATCATCAAATACAGCAATGTATAGATCAAGTTTTAAAATAATTATTTATAAAAAAATTACCATATGTTTGACAATTATACTAAAATTGTATTAATAGACTAATAATAATAGTATATTTATTATTATAATAACTATTATTATTATTCTTAAAGAATCGGGTATTGAATTAATCAATAGAACATTTGGTAAAAAAAGGAAATTTTTTTTAAAACACCAAAATTATATTAATTATTGCAAGTGATTACACAATACTATTACAAAAAAAATGTATTTATGAGGATTAAACACTGATAAAATACTCTATTAAATTATTTTTGTTTTTATAAATTTAAATAAAATTATTAATTTTTAAAAAATAAAAATACGACATATTTAACTATTTATTTAAAAATATTAATATAGTTATTTATTTTCTATAAAATAAGTATTTTCTAAATATAATATAGTATTAATTGTTAATTTAATATTTTTTATGATCCTATAATTTTTATACCTAAGTTCATATTTTATCAATATTAATTATTATGCATTAATTTAATTATAATAAATACAATACTATTTTACTTTAATTATAAATATTCAATATATTGTTTGATAATTTATTTAATATTAAAAATAATATTCTAATTAGATATAGTATCTAATATTATAATTTATTTATAAATAATTTTTTTTATTGAATACATAAATTATTTCAGTAAATTATTATTATTATTATTATCTAATATAAATGTAGTTATTGTATTTAAATAAATTAACATATTATATAGTAAAATATATTTTATTTTTTAATTAGTCTAATGAATAGCTTTTTATTTATATGAAAATAATTAAATAATAATTTTAATATTTTTAGAAAACACATTTAGAAATTTAGAATTAATAATAGATTAATATTAAAAAATATAAATAATATTATTTATATTTTATTTATTTCAATCATTGTTTTACTAAAAAACATTATACATTAAAGAGTACAACAGTTTTTATTATTTTATCAGTTAATTATAATAATATTAAAAGTATATATATTTTCAATAATATTATAACAAATATTGTAAACAAAAAAAACATTTTGAACTTAATTTTAGGCGTTGCCCTAAATAACAACAAATATGTTATTATTTATATAATTTCAAAATTTCTATTATTGTAAGATTTATTACTGGTTGATATTAATAAATTAAATATCTTATTAATAATATACTGTTAATTTTGTATTACTCACGTATATATATATATATAATATAAATTATATAATAATTAAGTGACAATTATCAAGATATATATGATGACATATTTTAACAAGCATATTTTATATGATCCAGAAAACATTATAAATCATAGTAGACTTATTAGCAATGATAATAACAATGATAATATTGGTATTAATATTATTAATCGTACACTAATAATACAACCATATCATGGACCACCTTATATAACAATAAAGTAAAATTTATTATGTTAATTTTTGTTAATTATTTAGTAATTCTTTAAAATTGTTTTTTCTTTATTAATTAATTAATTAAGACAAAAATAAATGTTTATTATAATTTTTTTGTTATCAAAATAGCGATCCGATTAACGACACATTATTTGAAATGAGTGGACCACTGGTTAATCTAATTATAAATTATGCTAAAATATACAAATATAAGTAAGGGGTGATTCACATATTACTTTCGCACTTGAGAGGAGGGGGTCGACAAAGCAAAGTTTTGAGAAGGAGAGAGATGGGGGTAGAGACCTTAAGAAAGTAGGCATTTAGATAATATTTTATTTTTTAGTGTTGATGGAGGGGAGGGGGTTAGCAATTAGAGTAAATGCTCCAAATTGCAAACATAGGGGAGGGAGGGGGTCTAGAATTCTTTAAAGGTGCGAACGTATTATGTGAATAGCCTATAATTTAAAAATATTTAATTATCTGAATAATTATATATTAAATTATAAATATTATTTATTATGAAACTTTTTTTTAGTCTAAAATTTTTGGCTAAACCCGATAGTATTGCCGAAATGATTATTAACATCAAAGAGGAAAATGGCGATATGCTTCTGGTGCCGGCCAGTGCTACACAATATATAACAAATAAGGCGACACTCGAATCAATACTAACTATACAATTGACCAAATTTATCGACATAATGGCCATCAACTATATCGCTGCCCGAGTAACTACCGGTCCGATACCACTATTCACATATGTTCACAGTTTTACCGATGATGTTTGGTCACTGATTATCCTAACAATACTGGCCCTTAGCTTAGTGTCTGCCCTATTGTATAATACTAAACGATACAATTATTTTACTATGATTTGTGACTATAGTTGGAATTATTTTCAGATATTATTGGGTAAAAGTTTGACAAAACAATTACTAAAACATAGTTATTATAAAACTATACTAAGTTTTTGGTTATTCATGGCATTTGTTTTGACCACATGTTTCACATCGAGACTGTTGGACGAAATGTCACGACCCATACCTGTACTAACTGTTGACACTATTGAACAGTTAGCTATGAAAACAGACATGAATATTATGATCCGATACGACAACGGTATTGTTACGCAAATGAATACCGATAGGTCAGAGTTGGCCAATAGGTTTCGGCAAAAGTTAAAATTGTTTGATACCGTCGGGTCGATCGGTGATGATATCCGGACAGGACTACGAAACGGATCCATTGCTTTCATTTATAATCAATTGGGTATTATTCAGCTATTAAACGAATATACAGTCTATGAAAGGGATGTACTGGGATTTCTAGATAAAAAACCATTGATTGATTTGATACACATATCAAACAAAAGTGCAGATTCTGTACCAGTTTTCTCATTTATCAACGCCGACACTCCACACAAACAATTGTTACCTGAAATTAATAAAATGTATGATTACTACTTAATAATTATTATTAGTTATTATAATTGTATATTTAAATTAATTATCTTTTTTATTTTTCAAACAAAACTATCAAATTAATGTATAAATAATTAGTATAACACATCTACAAGAGTCGGGTTTATATAGGAAATGGTTGGAAGAGTCACTCAACTGTAGCAATAGGTATACCCGGACGTCATGTTTAAGGCATTTGAAATCAATTGATTTGGATTACAGTCGATTCAAATACAATGAATTAAAATTTCAATACATTTACGGGTCGTGTTTGGCCATAATTTTCGGTAATATTATTGCAATAATAATGTTTATTATTGAAATTGTTTTACATTTACATCTAACCAAACGTTTTAATGATTATAACAACAATAACTATGATTATGTAAAATACAAGAAAAAATTAATTGTTCATTAATTTATAAATATCTATTAAAACAATTATTTATTATATTATTTTAGTATTTTAGAATATTTCTAAATTATAATTGCAATAAATTATTACAATATTGTAAAATAAGTAATAGTAATAATAATTAACATTTTGTGTTAAACAATAGTAAATATTGATAATTATTAATATAAATAGTTGTTTATTACATTAGTATATGAATTTTAAAAATAAAAAAAATATGTTTATTAATTGAAATACAATAATTGAATTGTTAATTATAAATTTGTTTGAATAATAATTACTGAATACGAAACAATCAATGATAGACATGATATAAGTGTAGTCATTGTTATCGGAAACAAATTATATGCCGTAAAACACATATCGTGTTTCATAGCATTCATTATGATTAATATATTATTATTATTATATAAATGATATTTATTTAGATTAACATTTAATTTATATAATAATTGATTAAAACTGTTAGATATTAAATTACAGGCAATAAATAGTGCGATAATTATGATTAAACTTTCAATCAAAGGTGTAATACTATAAAACAAACTCTCAGTATTACCGGTAAATAGTGTACACAACGCCGATACACATCGTATGGTATTAATTATAATTGTTATCATAATATAGGGACAAATGATTGAATCAAATGATTTAATAAATTTTTGTGTTTTTGATACAAACTTATAGATAATTTCAATGTTAATAATGTCTATATTTCTGAATATATATTTAAATTCTAATGATATTAAATAACATTTATACCAAACAAATACAATCAAAACTAGTTGAGTATTATAACATAATGTTAATATAATTGGTGTAATCAATAATATATTATATTTGATAATATTATGACATAAGTACTGTAAAAGTGTGTAAACAATTATATTAAATAATTCAATAATAAATGCCATAAATACTGTTAATAAACACACTATTAAACCAACTCGACGTTCAATATGATTGTCAATATAATCGTTGGTATGTTTAACAAATAAATCAATAATTTTTTGGGCTTTAAATGCAATAAATATCCAACTAATCGGTGTTTGTATATAATAACCGTTGTTTGATATCAAACATAATACATAAATAATACGCGATTTTGATGAATCAATACCTAAATTATAAGTTGTTTTTATTGTATATTTAATTCCCCGATAATATTGATAGATAACTAACGATAAATAGATTATTGCGTATATAATGTTAACAATTTTGTAAATTAATTTATAACTTGTATCACATTTATTATAAATATAAACATTACCAGAAAGTTTACAATATTTCATAATTATTTTTAGGCCTTTCATAATTTTATATTTTTGTTTTTAATATTAGAATAAATTAATTAAAAAAAATTATAATCAATAAATACTATAAAAAACTATTTTCTAAATATAAATATATATATATATATATATATATATATATATATTAGAAAAATGAAATAATTTAGAGTTAAAGTACCGAAGAAAGTTAACATTGATTTATTGATCCAAATATATAATGTATAAGAAATAAAAATTAGTAAATACGTGA